ATCTATCTATCTATCTATCTATCTATCTATCTATCTATCTATCTATCTATCTATCTATCTATCTATCTATCTATCTATCAATACTCAAGGAATGCAAATATTGTACTGTGCGGTCATGTCTAGGACATCGACCTATACCAAGAGTATAACTGATATTATTGATTTCTTCTCTCTGCTTACACTGCTGACCAGGGTTAATCGGTGGGAGAGTGAATCCCTGGAGTATGTTACTTGGCACACACACACGCACACGTACACACCGGAAAAGGCAGAACAACAAGCACATCCTTCCACCTTTTGTGCACAACTGGAGAGCCTACAGACAATGACATTAAAAAATATCACACATTACAATAAAAAAGTTGATCTACAAGTGTAAGTCCTTCTCTGGAGGCCAGAAATGGAGCAAAGATTACACTCATTTCTATGCTAGACTTGCTGGTCTTGGTACTCATCCAGATCACTTACATCTTGGTGCAAGTTCCTGTATGTTGTCTGTCAAGGTTCTCAGTCATCCAGGTCAAAGACCTTGGAAAGAAAGTGACATTGCACCTCTCATCCAAGAGGCTTCTTCAGTTCTGAAACCAAAGCGTCCCAGGTTCAGGTTCTCGATGGGGATATGAGTACAACACACAGTACCACAGTCCTGGATGAGACAACGAACATTCACGAGTACGTCAGGAAGATGGCCACGACACGCTCAGTGAATATCTCAGGCAGCAGAAACTCAAGAAAGAAGACCAAGATTAGGAGCCATTTTTAAAATGATTTTGAGAAATAGTTTTCCGGGCATTAGGAATGGTTTTCAAAGTTTTCTTTGGACAATGACTTCCTTTTTAAATCCATTCTTTGTGCTTGATGTTGTTTCTTCTTTATTGTTTTGTTTGTTTGTTGAACTACTTAACACTGATCCAATCTTGTGTCCAGCAAAGTTGATCCATCTACTGTTCACAGAAGCCTCATCAGAAATGTTTTCAGTGGAAGGATGGCTGTCAAAGAAACCATGCTTAAGGAAGGCAAACGGAAAGAAAAGGCTCAGGTATGACAAGATACACAATAACCTGTTTCATGGAGTGATCACTCCCAATTGATGATTGTTTTTAACATGTCTGGCATTATAGAGAGATTAAAGTTCTTAAAACACTGGAGATGTGAACAGTGTCAGTTACATTAAAGTTGTAGTGCATAAGACCAAGTATATTTTTATGATCATCCATGCATCACTGCTACAGTATCTTTCAGTTTTGATAATAAAGACTACAAAATAAGAGTCGTAAGCACAGTACAGGAAAGAAACTGCTGACCTTTGTTTTTGATCAAGTGGAAAGAAAACCTTGTCTTTCTGCAGCTGTTCATCCCTCCCTTTTTTCCCACAAATTTCCCACATGTGGGACTAATAAAGCTTATCTTATCTTATCTTATCTTATCTTATCTTATCTTATCTTATCTTATCTTATCTTATCTTATCTTATCTTATCTTTGATTGCACTGCATTTACCTTGCAGGTTAACATGCTGTCAGAAATTTCATGCTGCATCATAGATGGCTTTAGAAATCATGACATTTTCATCTGGAAGTAAAAGATGTATGATTAGAATCATCACACCTCTGCTGAAAATGATTAAGAATGGTTCTATTATGAATGATTACTTCACAGCACTTTGACACATCAGTGCATCATTTATTATTTAAATATTCAGACGTGTATACATTTTATACTAGCGAAGACCTGACTAGGGTACTGAGCAAATACACCAAATCATTCTGCGATGGGAACCAGAAGATGCTTTACAGCAGATTATAATCATATATATATATATTTCTACTTGTAGTCTTTGATGGTTTAACATGTTAGACATTGCAGAAAAGCTATCAGGACAAGAAACTACAAAAGGAAGACAGCCTGGGGCTCAACATCCCTTGAAGTAATGGAGAGAGCAGTCATTGATTTAATGGGTGGGAAATCCATAAGATCAGTTACAAAAGTGAGGAAAGTTGACAAATCAACACTTTGGAGGGACAGTAAAAAGAGGCAGGCACTCAAATATACAGGCACGCATGCACGAACACAAACACACACACTGGTTCTTAGCAGTAAATCCTGAAAAAGTACAGATGACACTGCAAAGGGGGCATGATATTAAAGTGTTTCTATTTCAACCTCAAAGGTACGTCTCACTAAACAAAAGAGGAATGAAAAGGATTCAGAGCATCAGATTTTACTGGAGCCTGTTTAGTGTCAAACACATGTCTGATCATCTACAAATGAGGATAAAATAAAGAAAGAAACAAAGAAACTAAATTATTTCACAAAAAAACAAAAACTACCATAGTCAAAATTATTAATTCTCCTGATGCTAATAGAAAATTGTGCATTCTGGATAAAAGCCTGCAGTTTTTTGGTGTCGTTATCTCACACACGTGTCCCGAGCAATGCTGGCCCATTCTTCTTTGGCAAATCTCTAAAGCTTTTCCAGATGTGATGTTCTTCCAACATGGACCTTGGTTTTCAGTTCACCCCACCCATTTTAATGGGATCAAAACCAGGGCTTGGTGTAGACTAGTCAGTAATGTTCACTTTGTTCGCTTTGGAGGTAAGTTCTTCACCAGGATCGAATTATGTTTTAAATCGTTTTCGTGTTGGAAGAGAAAGGGAAGACCCAGACTGAGCTTTGTTGATGACTGCTTGAAGTTTTCTTTCCAGCTGTCCTTCTTTCTTCATGGTTTCTTCCACTTTTAATGAGATTTCCAGTTCCTGGTGCACTGAAGCACCCCCACAATTCAATTCAGTTTTATTTATACTGGAGCACATCACAACAACAGTCACCTCAGGACACTTAATATGTAAGGTAAATACTCCCACCACTGTGTTTTACAGTGGGGGCGGTGTTCTCTCCCTTCTTTCACCAAACATATGCAGCATCATAAGCCAAAGAGCTCTAGTTTGGTCTCATCTGACCAAAGGACAGAATTCCAGTATGCATACTCTTTCTCCAGTTTGTCCTTAGCACACATCAGTCTGGCTTAAAGATGTCTGCAGAAGTGGAGATTTTCTTGGTCTGCAATCTCACAGTCAATTCCTGTGCAGTGGTTTTCTTCTCTGAGACTACAATTCCTGATGTGACTAAGTCATTGACTGGTGTCTTTGCAGTTATTCTCATTAGACACATTTAGACGCCTTAGACATATTTCTCATTAGTTTTCTTCACGGAGTCTTGGAAATCTTTTGCTTCTTGCCTCTGCCAGGCTTGTTCTGTACTGTGGGGCCCTCTTTAAATTTCTTGATGATACTTCCCACTCCAGTTCTTGACATTTGGAAATCCTGTGATAACTTTGTACATCCAACTCCTGCTTTGTGAGCATAAGCAATTCTTTTCCTCAAGTCTAAACTGATTTCTTTTGTTTTTGGCATGAT